CACTCTGTTGCCCAGACTGGAGTGCAGTGGCTGCACCCGGCCACCGCAGCCTCGACCTGCTGGGCTCCGGCGATCCTTCCGCCTCAGTCTTCCGAGTAGCCAGAATTACAGGCGCGCGCTATCACGCCCAGCTGATTAGAATTCTCATTACAAAAAAAAAAAGCAAGCAATGCAGTAGGCTCTTAGGAGATGATAACAACTCCATCTGGTAGAGCACAGAAGAAGAAAGGCCAAGCCTGGCTGACTGTGGATCTCTTTCCAACCTACTTGATTTCCTGTGAGAATTCCCCTTTGTAAAGCTTTCTTTCTGAAAAAATGGCTGCCCCTGGGTTTTCAAACCATCGTGCACATTTCTGGGGACACTGCACCATTCTTGGGTATACCTGGACAGGTGTCTATTTCCTGGTGGATCCCTGCTCAGGATGTTAACTGGTTAACAACATAAATCAGAAGAAAGGAGTAAGGGCATCAAAACTCTTTAGTTTAATTTCTCAAATTGGAGTCATTGTCTTTCCCTTCATAATCATGAGCAAGCTCAGGAGGGTTTGTGAAATGGTATTCAGCAGGGAATTTAGAAAAATGAAAATTCTAACAGGGAACACACTGACCCTTCTGCTTTATGAGATATTCCCTTAAGGGTACAATGGCAAAGAGGAAGTAGCTTTATTCATCAAACTCCAGTTGAGCAGAGCTTGGATTGGGTGAAATATGACATTGTAGGCTGGGCTCCGTGGCTCAGCCTGTAATCCTGTACCTTGGGAGGCCGAGGTGAGTGAATTGCCTGAGCCCGCAGGTTCAAGACCCGCCTGGGTAACTTGGCGAGACCTCATCTCTACAATAAATCAGAAAAATTAGCTGGGTGTGGTAGCGCGCACCTGTAGTTCCAGCTACTTGGAAGGCTGAGGTGGAAGGATCACCGGAGCCCAGGAGCATGCCACTGCACTCCAGTCTGGATGAGAGTGAGATTCCAACTCAAAAAAAAAAAAAAAATGATATTGTGAGCAAAGGTGGTTTTGGGAAAGATCCTAGGTTAGATTTTGAACTGGATATCAGTGGTACAATAGGTGACGTTTGAGTAAGATTTGTAGATTGATAATATTTTATCAATGTTAATTTACTGACTTAACCAATTGTACTGTGGTTATGTAAACAGGATAAGTATATGAGAGCTCTGTGTGCCATTTTTACAACTTTGAGTGCTAAATTATTTCAAATAAAAAGGTTAAAAAAAATTAGCAAGGTATGGTAGCCTGAGTTTGTTGTCCCAGCTACTTGGAATGCTGAGGCAGAAGGGTCTCCTGAATGGTCAAGTCTGCCAATGATTGTGCCATGCACAGCCTAGGTGATAGAGTGAGACTTTGACTCAACAAAAAAAGTTAAAAAATTTAATTCTAATTCTTTTCTTTCTTTCTTTCTTTTTTTTTTTTTCAGTCAGAGTCTCACTCTGTCGCCCCGGCAGGAATACAATGGCATGCTCACCGCCACCGTAGCCTCTAGCTGCTGGGCTTAGGCGATCCTTTCGCCTCAGCCTCCAAGTAGCTGGAACTACAGGAACGCGCCACCATGCCCGGCTATTTTGTTTGTTTGTTTATTTATTGTAGAGATGAGGTCACGCCAAGTTGGCCAGGCTGGTCTTGAACTCATAGACTCAGACAATCCTCTTGCCTCGGCCTCCCAAAGCGTGGGATTATAGGCATGAGCCACCATGCCTGGCTGGAAAAATGTCTTAAATCTTATCTTAAGGAGCAGAAAGATGGGAAAGCTACTTTTGCTTTAAGCAATAATCTTAGAGAGGACCAGGGTCCCCTAGTTTGAGAGAAAGCAAGTAGGTTCCATATCAGGTTGGAATATAACTTATATCAGTCAGGCAGGAGATAGAAGTGGGTGGCATATTTTGTATAAAAGCAATATTTTGAATGGAATATTACATAGAATAGACCTAACCCTTTGAGGTATAATTTAATTCATCTTTACTTAAAGTGTTTAAGTCTGAATTAAAATGGATACCTCAGAGTCTAGTTCATTGGAAACCCTCAGTAAGTTTTATATTTTCTAAAATCTGGTGAAACTAAGGGGTTTAAAAAATAATAAAACAGTGGAAATTGCTTTTCGAATAGGTAATAAAAGAGGAACAAACTTAGAATATTTTCTACGGTTTTCTTATTTATTTATTTAGAGTTGGAGTCTCACTCTGTCCCCAAGGCTGGAGTGTAATGGCTTGCTCAGCTCAGACGATCCTTCTGCCTCAGCCTTCCAAGTAGTTGGAACTACAGGAACACACTTCCACGCCCGGCTAAGTTTTTTGATTTATTGTAGAGAAGAGGTCTCGCCAAGTTGCCGGGGCTGGGATTTTCTTTTTTAATCATGCTGCCTTTGTCTGAATGGACCTAAATATAACTTTCGTCTCAGCCTCTCTGGGTGCCAAGCTCCTCTTCTATCCCTGTCTCCAGCTCTGAACTGTGTGGTTGGCCATTCTATACACCTGTCCATTCCGATCCAATTGGGGAGTCCTATACAAACTAGTATGCCCAAGTAGTTAAGAATTGATTGAATTAACTGTTAAATATATATTAATTAAGTCTATAAACAAATGCTGTCTTCTTTTGGAGCAAGGTCCCTTTGAAATTTGTGCTCAGAAACTGTTGGGTTTTCAATTTTGAATCAATAGAAAGTGCTGAAGAACAAGAGCCCTATTATGGGGCTGGGGCAGCCTTCTGCTATATGAGGTTGCCACTCGCTTAGATTAGGATTCAGCATTCACTTAGGCCCTTTGGTTGACTTGGAACCCTTCCGCTGGTCATCTCCTTTATACATAGTTACACAACAACTCCAACCCTCCACCCAGTACCCTGGAGTCTATGGTTTTTGTCTCAGAACAGTGTTTCCTTCCACTGCCTTTAACCCTTTCCTTCAGGTTTGAGAATACTAGCAGTTTCCGGGAGTTGATTAGGCTCTCTTTCTGTCTCTTAAGGACAGGTCTATTTTACAAATCCTACCCTTTCCGTTGGGTGTTGCTCTTTACACTGGTTTCTGTGCCTCATTGGATTCTGATGTGCTTTTGGTATCCTTGCCCTGGGTTGCCGGGAGGGCTTCTCCCCTACAGATTAACTGGTCTGTTGGCACCAGGCAAGGTGGCCTCTCCCATCACTCTGGGGGTCATATTCCAGTGACAAGGGAGCTGGAAAACAGTCTCCAAACTCTTCACTTTCCCGGCCAATGCACCAAGAAATGTTGTTGGAAAACAGATCAGAGAGACCGTGACACCCAGGCTGATAAGCAGGAAGCTGTGTTTATTACTGGAATGCCGGCATTCTGCCCAATGGACTTCAGTCACACAGGCTGGGCCCTGATTGCAGTTGGATCTCAGCTTATAGGTTTTACACTGACTTTGAGGGGAAGGGGCTTTTCATGGTGTAAGGTTTTGTACCAACAATAGCACAAGCTTGTGATTTTGGTTGCAGGGACTGAGCATGGCATTACAGGAAGGGGCTTGTGGTTTTAGCTGCAGGTACTGACCATGGCGTTTTGCATTAACAAACTGGAACACTTTAATTGTGATATATGTTTTGAAGCATTTTCTAAAAGCCCCCTACCACAGTCTAAGGTGCATTTTATTATATTTGTGAATACCAGAAGGCTGCTGTGTGTGGGTTCCTGGCAAAAGGTCTAAGTTCTAAATTTATTTTTATTTTTTATTTTTTTATTTTTTATGAGTTGGAGTCTCACTTGGTTGCCCAGACTGGAGTGCAGTGGCCACTCCCGGCTACCACAGCCTCGACTTGCTGGGCTCTGGCAATCCTTCCGCCTCAGCCTTCCAAGTAGCTGGAATTACAGGCATGTGCTACCATGCCTGGCTGATTTTTTGATTTATTGTAGAGATGAAGTCTTGCTGCCCAGGCGGGTCTCGAACCCGTGGGCTCAGGCAATCCACTCACCTCAGCCTCCCAAAGGCACGGGATTACAGGCTGGCCACCGAGCCCGCAGTTCTAAATTTAGAGAGACAAACTCATTCAGGGACACAGTCTTTCTGTCACTTACAAGCATGAAAATAGGTTTCCAGATGTTAAACCAGCTAAAAACTCATTTCAGAATTTACTTATTTATTTTATTTTTTTGAGTTGGAGTCTCATTCTTGTCGCCCAGGCTGGAGTGCAGTGGCATGCTCACGGCCACTGCAGCCTCGACTTGCTGGGTTCAGGCAATTCTTCCACCTCAGCCATTCAAGTAGCTGGATTACAGATGCACGCCACCATGCCTGGCTAGTTTTTGTCCTTTTACTGTAGAAATCAGGTCTCATCAAGTTGCCCAGGCTGGTCTCAAGCCCCCGGGTTCAAGCAATTCTCTCACCTTGGCCTCCCAATGTGCTGGGATTATAGGCTGAGTCGCCACACCCGGCCTCAGAATTTATTTTAAGTATTATATTAATTCTCAGTCTGGGGAAAAAAATAATTTAAAAGGAAAGTGTTCAAATAACCGTCTTTTATATGTTTTTACTTTTCTGTTTACATCCTTATGACTAGATGTTATATTTATGAGTGAATCAAAAATAAACAGCAGAGGAAAATTTTAAAGTCTGGGGAGACCCATTCCTTATGACTATAAGAGATCTTTGTCATCCAGGTCTGACTTTTATCTAAACAAAACTCATCATGTCAGATGCTGGCAGTTTTGAAAAGGCTGTTGCAGGCCTGGCTGGACCTGAGTCCTTATGGCCAGCATAGCCCTGGTGTCCCTCACATTCTGTCAGGGAGGCATTTGCCCAAATATCTCTGGGTGTACAACTACTAACTGGGCATTGGGCTCAGCAGGGACTCCTGGGCTGGAATGAGAGTCATAGTCTAAGGATGAGCTGACTATAGGAGGAGAGTGTTAACTCTAAGAGCTAAACTGGGTATGTCAAGAACCATGGCTTTGCAGTTACCCATCCTCCCTAGTAGGAGAAACTTTGGGAATTAATATTGCTGTCATAGTCCCAGCCACAAACCACACAGTTACCTCTATTTGGAGTTGAAATTCTTATATTTATTATAGCATTACTATCAAGAAAACATGTCACAAAACCACTATCAAGAATACATAAAAAATACATGGTTGAAGTCTAACATTAGACATAAGGAATATTCTAGGGCTAGACAAAAATTCATCCTCCAGGCCCAGAAGGCTGGATGAAGAGAGTGAGATTGAAGATATTTTGGGAGGCATTCACCACTAGAAAGCCTTGACAAGAAGGGCAGAGGTGGGGGTTATATGGTAAACTGAGTGCAAACTGAAAACTAACCAGCATGACATGTAGCCTAAAGCATCGTTGCTGCTAGTACTTTGTGATAAAATCTGCTGACTAGATAACTGTGTGGCTGAAATGAACAGAGGACACAGAACATAGGAAAACTCTCTAAAAATGTATTTTAAAGCAAGACCAAACTGCTCAGCAACCCCAGGTTGGGGACCCCTGTCTTCCTACCCTTCTACCCCTCATGACCACCATGGTAGGCCTTCTGATGCTCTGTTTCCATCCTGTCTCAGTTCAGGGGTTGGGGAGCTCCTCTGGGTTGAAGTTGACCTGGGTGCACTTCCCTACTGCCATCTTCAAACTCAGGTGCTGATAGGAACAAGACGCCTATGCCTGAAGGAGCATCCTTCAGCAGGCGGCCCAGTTCCTTCTCATAACATGCGGCTGCTTGCAGTAAATCTCCATTCTGCTTGTGGATTAACCCTTGATCATACCAATAATTTGGCGTGTTTTGTGGAAGCAGATTTTCAGCTGTGTTTTGCTTTTGGCATTTCAACTCTTCCTTCCCAGATGATTTTTCGCTTATGGACAAACTCTCTAGATGATGTCGGACAGCTGTGTCTTCAGACTTCTCGTGATACTCCTGAGGGTTGCAATAGCGCTGATGAAGTTGTTGCCGCTCAGTGACAGGGACCTCCTTATTGAACTCTTTCTGATAATATTGTTCTTCTTCCGGGAGCTCAGTGGGATCAGAATATGCACTCAGAGAATCCAGTCCCATCTCAAGAGCTTTTTTCAAATAGTCTGTAGCATATTGCTTTAGTTCTTCAATCTTCTCTTTTTTTCCATTAATATCAGAGTCTTCTGTGATCTGCATTTGTCTGATTTTTTCCTTGTAGCAGCACCTAATCTGGTGATAGAGGTGCGGATTGTTTGGTCTGGATTCCAACACCCGTAGAAGCAATTCAATAGCTTTGTCTGGGTCACCTTTTTTTTGGTAAAACTTGGCTGCATTGCGAAGGACATCTGTCTGGCCAGGAGACTTCTCCAGGGCTTCTTTAACCAATTTCTCACCTTCCACTTCTTCATTCAGCCTCTGCAGTTTCAGAGCCAAGAGAACTTTGATATACTGGTTCTCAGGATTCAATTCAATGGCCTGCTTCAAAGCGTTCTCAGAGAACTGTTTCTGTGGGTTATTATCCAGATGGTACATGGCAATTGCCAGTCCAGAAGAGAATTCCGGGTTGTTGGGTTTTTCTTCTAGGGCCTTCTCAAAACACACCTTTGCCCTTTCATTTTTTCCACACTTTAGTTTTGTCCATCCTTCCTCACAGTCAAGCTCAGGACACTCAATGCTGTAAGAATTTGAAAACTTCTGGCAGGTTTGTTTTACCTTGTCTACATAAATCTGGGCTTCTGACAGCCGGCCCATGTGGTAGTAGACCCAGGCATAGTTTCCCCAGGTGACCAGATTTCTGATTTCTGCCTGGCCTGTGTGTTCTTGCTGGATTAACTCTTCAGCTTGCCGTAAGCATTCCAAGGCTGCCTCGTTTTGACCATGTAGGTGTTTTATGTAGGCCAATAAGTTGTACATTGTAGCTTTGTACTCTGTGTTTAAAAATTCAATCTGGCTCCACACTCTGTCTTCTAGATCATGCGAGATACTTTCTTTTTTGAATAAGTTCCAGGTGAAATGGCATTTCAGCTGTGGAAGGATTGTCTCCAACGACTCCTTGGTGACCTCACTGTGGAGAGAAAAAACATGATCACCGTGATGTGTGTGCACTGTCAAGCATTTTGCACCATGATTATTAATTTTATGTCACCTTGCCTGGGCCCAGACATTGGGTTAAACATTATTTCTGGGTGTATATGTGAGGGTGTTTCTGGAAGAGATTAACATTTAAATTGGTAGACTGAGTAGAGCAAATTGCTGTCCCTTGTGTGAGTAGGCATCATCCAACCCATTGAGGGCTTGATTGGAACAAAATGCAGATGAAGGGAGAATTCTCTCTGCCTGACTGCTTGAACTGGGACATTCTCCTGTGTTTGGACTGGACTTGGACTAGAACTTTTTGGTTCTTAGGCCTTTGGACTTGGCCTGGGACTACACCACTGACTTTCCTGGGTCCCCAGCTTGTAAACAACAGATTATGGGACTTCTCAGCATTCATAATGATGTGAGCCAAAATCTCATTAAAAAAATCTCTTTATATACAGATGTTCCTCAACTTATGATGAGGTTATATCCCAATAAACCCATTGTATGTTGAAAATATTGTAAGTAAAATAATGCATATCATATACCTAAACTACTAAGCACTACAGCCACGCCTAGCCTATCTAAAATGTGCTCAGAACACTTATATTTGCCTATAGTTGGGCAAAATCATCTATCACAAAGCCTATTTTCTAATAAGGTATGAATGTAATTTACAGAATACTCTACTGAAAGTGAAAAACAGAATGGTTGCATCACTTTTGCACCATCATAAAGTTGAAAAGTTGATAAGTCAAACCATTGTAAGTTGGGCACTGTCTGTATACCCTATTGGTTCTGTTTCTCTGACTAATTCACGTTCCTAAGTCTTCCTAGACAGAAGAGGAGTGATTTTCCACTTGCTTCCCAGAGTCTCCTTTCTATAGTCACAATCTGTGCAAGACTCACAAAGTGCATCCCTTACACTGTGTAAGCAGATATGCAGTAGGCAAAGTAACATGGAGAAGAGGCAGCAGCAGAGAAATGAACTGGGATCTCTCCTCCTGATCAATTACCAAGTCAGGTCTCAGTCTCGCACATTTCGGATAATGTCTATTTAGCCATCCAATGACCCTTTACTGGGCTACCTCTTTTTGTCACTCTGTTAGTTGTAAGGGATATGAAGAAAAATAAAGGTGATCCTAGCCCTCTCTGACCTGTAGGTGATCAGTCCTGTTAGAAGCCATGCAAAGCAATGGAAGCTCAGGGACGATCACCAACATGTTACGTGATTTGGGTCCTTTTCCCCTCATTTTCTCTACCACCTTCCCAGACTCATACACAGACCCATGGAGGCTCAGGTTGAGTTGGAGTTAAGTAGTCTCCCCACCACACAGGCCAGATATTCAGCGAGAAGGAGTTTATTGCAAGGAACAAACAAACAAAATTGACAAATTTGTGCTTTTGTGGTTGGAAGACATTGAGGGAGTTCACTTGCCTTATTTAGTTGAATGAGATCCAGCTGGGCATGGTGGCTCATGACTGTAATCCTGGCACTTTGGGAGGCCAAGGAGAGAGGATTGCCTGAGCCCAGGGCAACATGGCCAGATCTTGTCTACACAATCAATCAAAAAATTAGCTAGGTGTGGTGGTGCACACCTGGGGTACCAGCTACTTGGAAGGCTGAGGCAGAAGGATTGCCGGAGCCCAGAAGGTCGAGGCTGCGGTGGCCAGGAGCATGCCACTGCACTCCAATCTGGGCGACAGAGTGAGACTCCAACTCAAAAAAAACCCCAAAAAACAAAAAAAAATCCTGAGCTCAGGTAATCCTCTTACCTCCACCTCTCAAAGTGCTAGGATTACAGGTGTGAGCCACCACATCCATCTAAAAGGCATTTGTATTGTCACTAAATAAGAAAGATATACTCTCAAAGTAAGGAAAGTTAGTTAAATTAAATGCATCTGGTTCTACAAGAAGCCACTGACTTTATTTGCAATTTACTGTGGACGAGAACTGGTTTCCTTTCCACTTTTTCAAGCGTTCTGATCTGCTTCCTGTCTCCCTCTCCAGTAATGGTGACCTAAACCATTTCTGACCCCATATGATTGCATATGAAACACCTTAGAGTGAGAATGCAGAATCAACCCAAGGCCATGGGAGTGAGAAAGGGCAGTTGCCATTTATGTCCAGATATCCTCTTTAGGTGCATGCCTCTATTGGAGGGCAGTCTTTTTCCTTCTCTCGATCCCTATCTAGAGGCCCATAATGTCAATATCTTCCCTCTTCATTCTAGGCTTGTCCTCTTGGCTTCACCTGGGGATTCTAGCTGACTTGTATGAAGGACTACAGTTCAAAACTCAAGTTAGCAATTATTAAAAATAAATACTATGAGAAGTTGGGCGTGGCGGCTCATGCCTGTAATCCCAGCATTTTGGGAGCCCAGAAGTTTGAGACCAGCCTGGGCAACATGACAAGACCTTGTCTCTATAATAAATCAGAACAATTAGTCTGGTGTGGTGGTGCATAAGTGTAGTCCCCGCTACAGCGATGGCTAAGACGGAAGAATCAACCTGAACCCAGTAAGTTAAGACTGTGGTAGCTGTGATTGTGCCACTGCCCTCCAACCCAGGTGACAGAGTAGGACTTCAACTCAAAAAAAAAAAAAAAAAAATAGGTTAGGCTTGGTAGCTCAGCCTATAATCTCAGTGCTTTGGGAGACCGAGGTGAGTGGATTGCCTGAGCCCGTGGGTTCGAGACCCACCCGGGCAACTTGGCGAGACCTCATCTCTACAAGAAACCAAAAATTAGCCGGGCCTGGTAGTGCGCGCCTGTAATTCCGGCTACTTGGAAGGCTGAGGCGGAAGGATCACCGGAGCCCAGCGGGTCGAGGCTGCAGTGGCCAGGAGTGGTCACTGCACTCCAGTCTGGGCGACAGAGTGAGACTCCAACTCAAAAAAAAAAAAAATACTAAGTGAAATTTTATTGTTTTCTTTTTGTTTTTTCTTTGAGACAGGGTCTCACTCTGTCGCTCAGGTTGCAGTACAGTGGCATAATCTCAGTTTATGGCAGCCTGGACCTCCTGAGCTCAGGATATTCTTCTGCCCCAGCCTCCCAAGTCGCTGCGCTGTAGTCACGTGCCACCACACCTGGCTAATTTTTGTAGTTTTTGTAAAGATGAGGTTTCACCATGATGCCCAGAGTAGTCTTGAACTCCTGGACTCAAGTGATCTTCCTGCCTTGGCCTTCCAAAGTCTCACTCTGTCACCGAGACTGTAGTGGAGTGGCATGATTCTCCCATCTTGGCCTCCCAAAGTGTTGGGATTACAGGCATGAGCCACTGTGCCTGGTGGGAAGTAAGTTTTGAGGATGATCACTGAACAAATCTGTTCATGACTGTTAAGTCACCAAATCATAATAATGACATTAAGATATAAGTTTACTTTGCATATGCTTCAAACTAATAGCAGAGAATTGGTAAGAATTGATAGAGAATATCCCATGAACCTGCAGAGTGATGGTGACTTCGGGTGCGTTCATCTCAACAAAACCAGAAACCTTATCTTGAAGGTTTGATGATACAATCTCTTCTCCTAGGGCAAGAGGCTTTGACATATAAATACACCAGAAGAATCTTATTAAACTAAACTTTAAGCACTTATTGATAAAGTTTCTCCCTCCAAGGAGACACATATTTCTATGTGTCATATATCAGCTTCCAGGGATATCAATTGCTCAAGAAAGTGTAGGGCAGGTTGGGCGTGGTGGCTCACGCCTATAATCCTAGCACTTTGGGAGGCCAAGGCGGGAGGATTGCCTGAGCTCATGGGTATGAGACCGGCCTGGTGAGACTTTATCTCTACAATAAATAAAAAAACTAGTTGGGTATGGTGGCACTCGCCTGTAGTTCCAGATACTTGGAAGGCTGAGGCGGAAGGATCACCTGAGCCCAGTAGGTCAAGGTTGCGATGGCCATGAACATGCCCCTCCAAAAAAAAAAGAGTGTAGGGCAAGCAGGAAAAAAGCTCCCTTAACATTCCTGGACTTCTGAGAGAGCTCTAAGTATGAAACTTCCATCCCCCCCACCACTTGACCAATGCCAGAGCTGGCCATGATAAGACATCTAATGATAACTTTGAACAATTTATTCAGGAAGATCGCCAAGTATGCATGTGGCTTTAAGATTATAAAATTTGCTGGGTGTGGTGGCAATCCTCTGCAGTTCCAGCTACTTGGAAGGCTGAGGCAGAAGGATAACCTGAGCCTAGCAGGTGGAGCCTGCGGTGGCCGTGAGCATGCCACTGTATTCCAGCCTGGGCAAAAGAGTGAGATTCCAACAAAAAAAAAAAAATAAAGATTATAAAATTTGCCAGGTGTGGTGACTCATGCCTGTAATCCCAGCCCTTTGGTAGGCCAAAGCAGGAGGATTGTTTGAGGACAGGAGTTCGAAACCAGCTTGGATAACATTTCAAGACCTCATCTCCACAAAAAATAAAAAAATTAGTATGCATCCCAGCTACTTGGGAGGCTGAAAGCAGACGGATCGCCTGAGCACAGGAGGTTCAGGCTGTGGCTTGCCATGATCATGCCACTGCATTGCAGCTTGGGCAACAGAGACATGACCAAAAAAATTAAAAAAAGATGAAGATTATAAAACTTATTGAGAATCAGAATTCAGGCCCCTTGATTTTTCTTAAGCCTTCCTCCCTAGGGTCTCCAATTTGATAAGGTATTTGAAAACTGATCTCTCTTTGAAGTACAATTTGGAGCAAAACATATTGGACTGGGAGGCCTAAGACCTAGAATAAGAAGAAACGAATCTCAGAGCCAGAGTTCAGAGGTTTGCATTAAAGTACTATATCCAGCTGGGCTCAGTGGCTCACGCCCATAATCCCAGCACTTTGGGAGGTAGAGGTGAGAAGATTGCCTAAGCCCATGGGTTCAAGACCATCCTGGGCAACATGGCAAGAACTTGTCTCTACCATATATCAAAAAATTAGTTAAGTGTAGGTGCATGCCTATAGTTCCAGCTACTTGGAAGGCTGAGGTAGAAGGATTGCTTGAGCTCAGCAGGTCAAGGCTGTTGTGGCCATGAGCAGCATGCCACTGCACTCCAGCCTGGGTGACAGAGTAAGTCTCCAACTCAAAATAAATAAAGTACTGTAGCCTTTCTTAAAACAAATACTCCAATTGCCAAGCTTTCCTCACTTAACAATTTATCTCATATATGCGAAATACTACTTACATGTATAAGTAAGTTAGTTAACAGTAATTAAATTCAGATACTTAAAGGAAATAAAAGCAAGTGGGTGGGATGATGGCTGAAATTACTTGATAAAGAATGTTTAGGTTCAGCCAGACGTGGTGTTCCACGCCCATAATCCCAGCACTTTGGGAAGGCCAAGGTGGAGGACTGCTTGAACCCAGAAGTTTGAGACAAGCCTGGGCAACATAGCAAGACCGCCTCCCTCCAAAAAAAAAAAATTAGCTGGGTGTGGTGGCACACAACTATAGTCCCAGCTGCTTGAGAGACTGAAGTAGAAGGATAGCCTGAGCCCAGGAGGTTGAGGTTTTGGTGAGCTGTGATCATGACACTGCACGCCAGCTTGGATGATAGAGTGAGACCGCAATTCAAGAAAAAAAAAAATCTAGGTACAGGTGAGACATGGGAAGTAGAATGCCAGTCCTACTTGGATAGCGTGTGTCTAGTAGAAGACCTTGGGGAAGCAGAATTCGTTGAGACCCAAGTAGAGAGTTCTCACAATCTCAGGCTGCAGCCTTGAGATATAACTGATCATCTACCTGGATAGTGAGAGCCTGTTGGCACTGTCCCCAGACTCCTGGGTAGATGCCACATCTCCTTTAGGGCCCAGTCAAAACTGTTAGTAGAGTGAATCTTGAAATTTTCAGAAAGAGGCTCTGTTGAGTGATGGTTTCTAGAGAAACTTCTGAGGCAGCTTGCACTGCAGATGCCGTGGTAGTGGTTTAGCTGGTAATGGTTTAGTGAAGGGATGGACAGACCTGTGCTCAGTCGGTCAGAACAGGAAAACTTCAGAGACCATCACTTCAGAAAAATGAGTCAAGGAACTCTCCAGACCCTACATCTCAAACTTGAATGTGCATATGGACCCAATCACATGGGGATCTTGTTCAAATGCAGATGTGGATTCAGATGGACTGGGATGCTGCCTTTCTAACTACTTCCAAGGGAGTCCTGGGCTCAGACTACACTGTGAGTAGCAGGGCTTTGGGAAGACTTCCCTTTGCGGTGATTTCCGGTTGCCAGTTTCCCATCCCTAAAAGTGCCCCTTAAGCAGGCAAGCTTCTCTTTATGTCAACATCTTTTCCATTCCTCCCACCCCCCCACCCCCTACCCACTTGGGGTCTTTCTCCCTCACATTCACACACATACAATGGACGAAGCATCGTATACATCTAAGGAAGAAGGCATTTGGAGATAGGCCAGCAGTTCTCAGACTTCAATATGCCTATGAAAGTTACCTGTGTTCCTCTTTAAATATTTTTCTCTGGACTTTATTTCTGTTCTACTCAATTAGGATTTCAGAATGCAGGACCCAGCAATTTGCAATCTAATAGGGCACTCAGGTTGATTGTGATCCAGGCCACCTGCCGAACACAGTTTGCAAGACTGTGACACTTTCTGTTCATAGTTCACAGGAGAGGTCTAGCACACCAGGGAGAGGATGACATATTCCCCCAATTATGAAAAAGCACATATCAAGGTAAAAGTCACCTCATTATGTATTGGAGTTTTGCAACTTTGCTGAGAAGCAAGCTTGCTTTAAAAATAACCACAACAAAATCCACGAACCACAACAAGTTCCACAAACCTGATCTAGTCTTTTCAAACATAAGAAACACAGGAGGGGCCAGGAGCTCTGGAAACTTTCCTCAGGCTCCAGCCTCCACTGACCTGATTTTGCCTGAGAAGATCTGAGCGTTTCTCCCAACCCCCCTCCCTCGCCCCCCAGTGCTCTAAGAAGCCCTAGTCCCCTCCTGGCTCCCGGTTCTCGCTTCCCTCAGTGCCTGATTCTTAGGCTGCCTGATTCTGTAAACCAGGAAGACTCCCAGAAATAAAAAGCACGAGCCGGGCTCGGTGGCTCAGCCTGTAATCCCGTGCCTTTGGGAGGCTGAGGTGAGTGGATTGCCTGAGCCCGCGTGTTCGAGACCCGCCTGGGGAGGCGAGACCTCATCTCTACAATAAATAAAAAAATCAGCCGGGCGTGGTAGCGCATGCCTGTAATTCCGGCTACTCGCAAGGCTGAGGCAGAAGGATCGCCGGAGCCCAGCAGGTCGAGGCTGCGGTGGCCGGGAGCGGCCACTGTATTCCAGTCTGGGCAACAGAGTGAGAATTCAACTCAAAAAAAAAAAAAAAAGAAATAAATGAAAAGCACGAATTGCAAGGCAGGTTTATAAGTGCATATTTGATCTCTAAGCAAACACTGAAACAGAATAACTCGGGAAGTTGAAAGAACAAGGTCTGTGAGAAACTCAATCAGAGAAACAGGGACTCTTTACCTCATGATGGCTGTTTCCCTGCAATTCTGAAGAGCTGGGATCCAGGTTGATTTTATTTTCAGCTTGCTGATCCTAAGCAAATGCTGAAGAGGTTTCCACTAGGGGTGCTAGCCTTTAATGCTGTGCTCTTATAGAGCCAGAAATGAGAGTGAAACTGATGCAAGGCTATCGGGATTCCTTGTTGGGAAACTGAAACTGAGAAAGAACTGAGTTCACTCACGCTGGAAATATGCTCCAAACAGGTTCACAGACCGTGATTTGAGAGACTGTAAAAAGGAAATAAAATTTGAGAGCCTTCCAAAATTATTATGCCAAGAGAAAAAGTTAAGCCTTGAAAGCTGACCCACGTGGCATGACTGTTTTTCCTCTCTGGTACCTGAAGATTGCTTTCTGACTTTTGTGTTGAGATGTTGTACATTAACCAGACTCCATAATCTTTATGCAAACCTAGAGTAAATGACATGGAAATAGAGACCCTTGCGATTGTTACCTCTTTACAATAAAATGTTAAGAAACACCCTGAAAGGAACATCAGTCATATATCTGTATGTTAGCCTGTGTATGAGAAATGTTTTGTTCAGCTCTGTCTTTGCCTATGTAAACAAGTACTCATTTTTTTTCCTATACCAGTTGCATGAATCAACCATTTATTTGTGTAGCTCTGTTCTCCAGACCACCACCCTCACCCTTTGCACTTTGATAAAGTCTTTAAACTGGACCTTAAGCCTTTTGATTATTTTAGGTAGACAGCACAGATTACCAGGTTCAACTTCCAGAGAATCTGGGGTAGTAAATCTGGGGTGAGCGCAGAAATCTGTGTTTTGACAAGTGTCCTGGGAATGCAGTGGCAGGAATCCCTGTACCACATTTTGAGAAGTGTTGTTTTAGAGGTTTATTTATTTATTTATTTATTTTGAGTTGGAGTCTCACTGTCTCCCAGGCTGGAGTGCAGTGGCACAGTCATGGCCACCCAAGTGGGCTCAGGCGATCCTTGCACGTCAGCCTTTCAAGTAGCTGGAACTACAGGTACATGCTGTCATGCCTGGCTTATTTTTTGATTCACTGTAGAGATGAGGTCTCACCAAGTGGCTCAGGCTGATCTTGAACCCCTGGCTCAGGCAACCCTCTCGCCTCAGCCTCCCAAAGTATTGGGATTACAGGCTTGAGCCACAGCACTCAGCCTTAGAGGTATTTTTAAAAGGAGTTACATTGTGGAAGCCAATGTAAACAGCCAAAATTAAACAGTATGTCAGACAACCTATAATGGAGTAAAAATAAACCACAGGACACCTTGATTTTGGCGACCTCTTTAACTAGCTTTGGGCTATTTCTAGAGTTACCTCATTGATCCTCATTTCCTTACCCTTAAAATGCCCTGGGAGCCGGGCTCGGTGGCTCAGCCTGTAATCCCGCGCCTTTGGGAGGCTGAGGTGAGTGGATTGCCTGAGCCCGCAGGTTCGAGACCCGCCTGGGCAACTTGGCAAGACCTCATCTCTACAATAAATAAAAAAAAATTTAGCCGGGTGTGGTAGCGCGCGCCTGTAGTTCCAGCTACTCGGAAGGCTGAGGCAGAAGGATCACCGGAGCCCAGCAGGTCGAGGCTGCGGTGGCCGGGAGCGGCCACTGCACTCCAGTCTGGGTGACAGAGTGAGACTCCAATTAAAAAAAAAAAAAAAAAAGCGCTGGAATGAGTTTCCTTTTTGCCTCCTCTCAAATGATAAGAAATCATGCCCTAGGGAGATAAAAAAGGAGATACATTTTCACCTTCATTCAAGATCTTGATTCAGAGCTTGTGGCTCTGGACATTCTAAGGGGTGAGTGTAACCATCAAAGAGTGGTCCAGATGGGAAACCGGTCTCTGACCCCCTCTCTACAGTGAGTATATAAGGAAGTACTAACATTTTTCATCTTTTTTTTTTTTTTGAGTCAGAGTTTCACTCTGTTGCCCAGGCTAGAGTCAGTGGCAAGCTCACGGCCACCGCAGCCTCCACCTGCTGGACTCAGGTGATCCTTCTGTCTCAGCCTTCCAAGTAGCTGGAACCAAAGACATGCCAGCTACCACGCCTTGCTAATTTTTTGATTTATTGTAGGGACAAGGTCTCACCATGTTGCTCAGGCTGGTCTCGAACCCCTGAGCTCTGGCAAGCTTCTTGCCTCTGCCTCCCAAAGTGTTGAGATTACAGGCTAAATCACCCTTTCATTTTTTATTTTTCTGAGTTGGAGTCTCACTCAGTCACCCAGGCTGGAACTTCAGGCATGCTCCACCACACCCAGCTAATTTTTCTTGATTTGTTGTAGAGTAGTGGTCTCACCAAGTTGCTCAGGCCGGACTTGAACTCCTGGACTCAGGCTATCCTTTCACCTCGGCCTCCCAAAGTACTGGAATTGCAGGCATGAGCCACCGCACCCAGCCAAATCTTTCACCTTTTGGCTTTTGGGCACAGAGTCAGAAGATGTTCAGCAATAGAGTTCACTGCCTCTATGAATGACCCTGTTCTGACACCTGCTCTCTATGTGATGTCTTGGGCAAGAAATTTGTTCTTCTGAGCCCCATTTTGCCTATCTAGAAAATGTTAATAATAGGAATAATAGCTCTTACTTCCTAGGGTCATTGGGAGGGTGATAAGAGATTATGCATGAAAAGCATTTCACAGAGTGCCCACCAACTACTGATCACAAGGAAGCTAACACCACTACCACTGTTGGTAACTTAGTGTTAAAATTTTAAGTGAATTTGTGAGTGTGTAAAGAGGGCAACAATGTGCCCAGGGGATGGGGCAGAAGAGGCTGTTTAGCTGCCAGCAGGTACCAGGCATTTCCCGGAGTGATTTTCCCCTTTGGAATTTCTTGACAACTGCTGGGGAGGGGCAGCCCAACTTGCCTCTGTTCCTACAGCCTCCAGGAATAAGCACACCTTGAGGTGAACCTCAGTCCTACATAGTCCAGAGAGCCACCCTCAGATCTCTGCAGGTGAGTGGCTCTAGACACACCTAAACACAGGATACTGCAACGTCTTTTATGCGGGCTAAGTACCAAGATGCTGGGCAGGGCCTGACTTTCTGGTCAATCTCATTTATGCAGGCTCAATAACATCACTCTTGACCCAGACTATACAAAAGTATAACCTGAGGTAGTTAGCTGTGAATTCCTCCCCCCACCCCCATCCCCAAATATGACGTTGGAGAGCATTTGCAAGTGCTTGGGGCTGAGGGTAGGGTGGTCAATTTCCCTTTCCTCACTCCCTGAGTGGTCGATAGGATGTTCCCACCTTGGCAATCACTCGCTCAATCCTTCCCCATACGTGCTTGGTGGAAAAGACATCTCTCTCTTAATTCTCTCTGTCGTGCTATCCTATCGCAGAACTCTAATAAGTCTGCATGCATTTTTTTAAAAAATCAAGTTTACTGAAATTAAAAAACAAGTTGAAGTCGGGCTCGGTGGCTCAGCCTGTAATCCCATGCCTTTGGGAGGCTGAGGTGAGTGGATTGCCTGAGCCCGGGGGTTCGAGAC